CACACACACACACACACACACACACACACACACGCACACACACACACATGCGCACGTGCGTAAGCACACACGCGCGCGAACACACACGCGCACACACACACACACACGCACACACACACACACACACACACACACACACACACGAAGGTTGATGCCGAACAGATTCATCTGACACTCCCATCCTGTACGGTCCTTGCGCACCCTCCAGGCTTGAAGTTCAACCATGCACCCCTCAGTGCATCACTCCGCCGATCTCCCAGTCCATGGCCAAGGGCAAGTGCGCCACCGGCAAGATCGCCGACGACCCCTACGCCCTGTTGGTCAACACCACCGTCGGCGACACCGTTACGAGCGTGAAGTTCTCGCCCGCGGGCTCCTTGAAGCAGGGCAGGCAGAAGCTCAAGGTGTCCGTGAAGTACGCCGGCGGCGCGACTGCCAAGGCCTCGTGCGACGTTGACGTTTCAGACAGGGAGCCGCCCACTGTCAGTGTTGCGTCGAAGTCCGGCGGGGCCTGCGCCTGGCCAAAGCCCGGCAAGACCGCCGCGTGCTACCCCCTCAAGGAGCTGGTGAGGGCGACCGACAACTGCCGCCCCGCGCCGACCGTCACACTGACCGGCTGCGCGGTCACGGCGTCCGCGCCGTCCAACGGGTCGGCCGCAGATTGCTATCAGGAGTCTGGCGCGGGCAGCGTGTGCGTCGTCTATCCGCCCGCCGGCGCGGTCGCGCCGCGGGTGGCGCGGGTGTCCCTCAGGGCTGTTGACGCATCCAAGAACTCGTCCCCAGCCTTGAACGTAAGTGTCGTGGTGTACGGGGCTAAGCCAGCCTCGCCACCCCAGGGGTGCAAGCCAAGATAGACACCGCGCCTGTGGGTAGGGAGGTGCTGCTGCTGTTGCTGGCGCACGTGGTTTTTGCGCCAGGATTCTGCAAAAAGGGTCAGCAGGGGCTGCAATTTTGAGGCGCGTGAGCGACTCACTCTGCGCCTCATTGTACCACACAGCGTGGTATTCAGTTCAAGACGGTCTGTCAATCAGATACAGTGCGATACAAATAGCAGCTGCTCCTTTGACTCAGCGGCGGCGCGCATCATGTGAAAGCCTGCATATTGCGCCCGCCGATCGCGCGCTCTTGCGATGGACATGTTTGTAGGCCTCCTAATATAATAGCTGTATCTACGATGCCACCTCGCATGCATAATTTGTGCACGTATTGTTTAGCTGCCAAGCCCATCTTACTTGCTGCTGCCGCACGCCCCATCTATTGGCGACCCCCGAAACGCCATCTATTCTGCCAGATTTTTTGGCGTGCTGCAGCAGCCTCTTGTGGCAATCGCTGTGCCAAGCAGCGCAAGTGGCCGATGGTATTGCTGCGGTTTTGCCAGCCCTGCCCAGCACCAAAAGTTTGAGAGGTCATGATTTCCTGTTGCTCGCGGTGCACACCCCTGCCTCTAGCAGCGTCGTCTGTGTGCATTCAGTCCACGTGTAATGCTCATAGCCCTACTACTTCTTGCGTGTTTTTGGCTGCCGTGCACGTCGGCGTGCATTATATATGTCTATCATATTGAACCATACATGGTGCGGTGTGGCTGGACTGTGTTGCAACCACTTTAAGACAACCGCACACGCGCCATCGCACGCACATGCAACCCAAAATCACATGTGTGCGTCAGGTCCTGTGCAAACCACACTTGCTCGTTTCTTTGTACGGCCTGCTGCACATAAACAGTACTGCACTCATTCCATCAGCTATTCGAGCGATTTGGTTGCACAAACTACTTTGCTGAAGAGTATGTCCGTACAAGCTGGGCAGGGACTGCCCAAATCAGGCGCGAGGGTACATTTTGCACAGATTAACATGCATTGCAACAGGCAGGGCTCGCTTGCTCTCGCTCCTTGCAGGGCATTATTATCACGAACATCACCCCTGAAGATATTTGTCACCGCTAGCTGCAGGTCACAAGCACTTTGAGGCATACCCATGTTTGCCAACTGCAAGGGACTTGTTCTCGGTCTTCGAACCGCACCCGTTTTTCAAACCTTAACTACCCCTTCAAGAGGGGATGGCAGTCTTCAACATCGCATGCATGTACTGGCAAGGCACAGATGCGCTTGTAATATACAAATTGGGCGCGGCTGCTCTACCATCCACATAACCATGGGGTGAGGGGCTGCAGCACAGAGCGACCTCAGGGTCAGCAGTTGACTGTGAGCGCTTTGCTTTGGATGAGTACTGGTGGAAACCTATAAAGGGAGGATCGTGAGTCTTTGCTGCACTGCACCAGGCTACCTGGCCCCAGCCCGTGCCCGGCGCCCACCCCATGGGCTGTTGCACACGTACCAGCGCCAGCTGTGGACGCCAGCTCACTTTTGCGCCGGGGGTAGGGTTATGGGGCCGCGGCGGCGCACAGCGGCGCATGGCCAGCTTGCGGGGTGCACCTGGTGCGACGCCCGGCCGATCAAACCACAGTGCAGTGGCGCTAAAAATAATGTGGTCAAAGCAAAAGACGGCAGTCGTGCCGCTGAGATCGGGATGCGGGTGGTGCAGCCACGGCACCAGCGGCGGGGCAGCGAGCAGCAGCACATACCACTAGGCACAGTGAATTAGGGGCGCCGCGACGCCTGCTGTGCCCGCGAAATTGTGTCTTATATACCACGATCAAACCTTCAAGAGCGCTCGCTCGTGAACACTGCGGTTTGGACGCCGCGTGTGCCTCAACAATCTGGTGTCGCATGCGCGCGCTTCGGAACCCTGGCAAGCAATTTTTCTCCTATATATCAAACTACATATGATGCTCACCGGCCGGTGAGGGGCAATGACTACTCATCTTTTCAGGGCCCCTCCTGGACTCATGTATCCCCGCGCCCCGCATGGATCACCACTCCGTCGCCATATTATTTATCTATTCTAACGAGGCCCATTGCTGCCTCGCTGCTCGCAGAAGACGGCTTTTCCACCTCGCCGGCCGTGCCCTTTCGCCCGGACGCTTCCCTCAGCCATGGCGTCCCTCTGTCGCGCAAGCAGTATGAAACGCTCGGCTTGCTCCGGCATGGGGCCCTGCCGCTCGCCCAGCCCGCCGATCCTCGACGCGTATCTAGCGCCATCGTTCGCCCCCTCCGCGCGCCCCGGCGCCGGCCCCGCCGCGCCCAGCCTGCGCCGCAGCGGGCCCGGCGTCGGAGCACAGCGTCTTGGGCGCGCACGCATGGTCGCGGTGCGCGCGGCGGACAAAGGCGCCCTGGCGGCCCTGCGGGACGACGTCGCGCGCTTTGTAGCGGTGGGTCATTTTTTCGGGCGCTACGGCGGGGGTTGAAGGGTCCGCCCCAGCTTCGCGACCCGCATGCGCACGCGCTGTTGGTTCCGCGGCGGCGGCCATGCGGCGGTTGCCAGCTTTCCGGGTCGGAGGGGCGCACCTGCGCTGCCGACGCCTTGACTTTGCTGGTACGAGCTGTGTGACCCGTCCACGCCATGCCGCCAGCAACTGACCCCCTGTGCCTCTGGGACCCCAGGTGGATAGGGGCCGCCGCGCAAAAGCGGCGGCGCATCACTTTTGGGACGTTTGCGTGCATCGGAATTGTACGGCGCCCGCCAGCCTCCTCCACCACGCCAGCGGACCCACGCCGCACCCACACCCCACCCACCTACCCTTGACTATGGCCCCCACTCACGCGGCGCGAGCCCCTGCACTGCCACACACTCACACGACCCCCCAACCCCCTCTGAACCCCCGCAGCGCTATGACCCCGTTGCTACTGGGCTGGGCAGCCTCAGCCTGTGCGGCTACTGCATGGTGGTGCACGGCCAGAGCGCCGCCGAGGCACTGCAGATGTCGGCGCTTGCGACGGTTCTGGGCATGGTGGGTGCTCGCTGATGGGGGCAGGCAGTCGCGCGCGCGCGCATGTCCGCTAGCCTGCCTACGTGCGTGGGCGTTGATCGCTGGGAGTGTGTGCGGCGCTGGCGCGTCTGGTGGGGCTTGTGCCGAATGCGTCCTGGCTCTGGGGTGTTTTCCAGGGGTAGGGGTTGCTGAGTGCGGCGCTTGTGCTTTGGGGTGTCGTAGAAGGGGGCTGGGGGCTGCAGTTGGTCTCAGAGGTGCAGCCGGGGCACGCTCAGGATCGCGCACCCCGCCAAGGGGCTCGCACCCCTTCCCCGCGCTTCGCATCACCCCTGCCCACCTCGGCCCGGCTGGTGGGTCGTCGACAGGAGGCCCGGCCTCCTGGCTTCGGCCCCACCACTTGCCCGCACACTTTGTGAGCAACATCATATTCAGTCGTGGGCGCCTGCAAAGAGCGCTCTGCCGCCCCTCATCTCAAACCGCAGCAGCCCCTGAACCAATTATGTTGATTCAACACACCTACATGTCCGCCCTCACAAGCACTGACGCTGAGCTCCCTCCGCCCGCCTGTGTCTACAACCCCACGCCTAGGTTGCAAACGAGCTCTTGTTTTCGGATGGCGACGACGACTCATCAACACCTTCGGCTTGATGACGCAATTATGACGTCACCGCGTAGCTGCGCCTGCTTCCCCTGCCTCATGACAAGTTGCAATAACAGCTACCGCTGCCACCCCTGTCCATGGCGGCCCCACCAGCGCCAATTGACGGCGCCCCGCATGACGCCAATTGACGGCGCCCCATCCACAAATCGAAAAGCGGCCTGCCAACCCCGCCTGGCGTGCTTCGTCTTGGGAGACATGCACACTATGCAGTGAGCTCGAGAGAGTGCCAGCGGGGGCTTTGCGCGATCCCCCGGGCCTGGCCCTACACCCTTCCCACATGCCACGCACCCGCTTCCCCCCTGCTGCTGCCGCGCCGGCACAGCTGGTGAACGGGACGCACATTTGCAAACAAAACCTCCGACGCTCTCTATCCCGTGGCTGTGTGCTGTTGCTACCTGATGCAAACAGCGCAGTGCCACGCATGCCGAGCTGGGGCCCCCCGGCGCTGGCCACTTGAGTGCGCGGCCTGCAAACGCACCCTGCGTCCACCTCATTTGGCGCTTTGCACACGGGCGCACGGGGGACGGCCCCAAAGTTGGACTGGCCTGCTGCTTGCCCTTCTGCTGTCGTGCTCAGATTAGATCACAGAGTTTCAGGGGTTTCCAGGCAAGTTCAATGTGCGCGAAGAGTTGTTTTGCTCAACAACTGGCGTTTCAGGCACATCCCTGTGGCGGGTGGCCCCTGCAACAGCCGTGTGCGCGGATCGTTTTGCGGGGTGCTGCACCTGCATGCGTGCTGGGCCAGACACAACAACACGCATACACACACATGCGCAGCGGTTTGGTGGCTGCGATTCGCTCTTATGCATGCATATGTGCGCTATGGCAGCAGCACATCAGGCCTAGGCGGGTTGTCAGTGTCGACCCACCCCCATGGTCACGCTTGGGCCCCCCCTCCCCCATGCAATGCGCACGTTCCACCCGCCGACGGTGGTGCGATTTTGTTTTGTGAGACGTGTTGTCAGCACACATTTTCAAGTTGCCCCGAACAATCAAGTTCAAACGCCCCCGCTGCGATCGGTTTTGCGATGTCGGCTCGTCAGTGCCTCCGGCGCATCCTGATGACGACTATGTTTTGCTTGGAGAGTGTGCCAGGGCCTTCGTAAAGTTTTCAGCTGGTGGGGTGCAGTGTCGATGAGCAATGCACGCCGCTGCAGGCCAAGGGCGGCGTGCGGGCCTCTGCGACAAGATTCCGTCGGGTTGCATTGCTTTGGCCCTTGCGGTTTCTCAGGTCGCATTTGGCTGGTTTGCTGTGGGGCAACAGGGCCAACATCAACAGGACACGCAACACCACGCTTTTACACGAGAGCAAGATTTGGTGCCCCCGTTTTGAGTCGGTACAGGCACTAGAGCACGTGGGTAGGCCGTTTTCGCACGCACAGGCATGACCCGCAGCGCCGCGCGTCCTTTGCTGGTCTCGCCAGCCGTCTTCGTGCCCAAGGGCACCACACTCGTCCAATTGAACACAATCGCCAAGGTCTCCCACCTGGCAACCATCACACTTGACGGCAGGCCAAGGGAGAGGCTAGTTGTTGTTGCAACACTCCGTTCCTTGTGTAAACTCAGCCATCAAGAGAAGCAAGTTCACCTGTCTAGGGTGGCAGCGTTGACAATTGCAGCGGCGTTGAGTTCACACGGAATATCAGCCTTTGCCTGGCAGTCCGCACTGCATCACGGTCGCCGGCTGCGCGGCCGGCGCCCTACTCTCGCGCTCAGCAGGCCCGCCGCCCAGCGCCGTCGGTGGAGGCTCTCACTGCGGCCTGACGTCACCTTTAGCAGGCAGGGCGGCTCCATGATGACCGCTGTGTGACAGCGCGCGTGCTTGCCGCGTGGCGGTGCTTGCCGCCAATCGCAGCGGACTGTGATTGCTGGTGCGCGCTCGGTTCAGTTGTGCGGCATGCCTCCCCTCAACGCGCGCTTCCGTGGCGGCGGCGCGCGATGCCCTGGGACGTTCGTGGCTGGATGTGCGACGCAGCAGAAGGATTCTTTGTGTGTGTGTGTGTGTGTGTGTGTGTGTGTGTGTGTGTGTGTGTGTGTGTGTGTGTGTGTGTACGTGTGTGTGTACTGTATGTGTGAGCACATGTAATGGGCCCCAAGGTTCCGTTGTTGTTGCCGTGCAGCACCCTGTGATGAGATACCCCGCTGCACCCAAAGTTTGGGTCAGGTTCCCTCATTTTAGCGAACTGAAGCAGGGACTTCCCTGGCCTGCCCCCACGCGCCCCTGGCCAGTCCCTGGCCGCTCCTGATCGCGTCTGGGTCGGAATGAAATGGATTTTTTGCACGTGTCAACCTAGCAGGCCTGCCCCCTTCCCGCAGGGCCGTCGACGATTACAGCCGTCCTCACGGTGTGGCCTGGGTGGGAACCCCGCGCCTGGTGCAGCTTCCTTTGGCCCGCTGCTACGAGGCTTGCAGCAACCAAGGATGCAGCGGCGGCTTCAACAATCAGGGCTGAAGGGCAGGGTTGGACCGTCAGGCGCGAGCGCGGCGCCGCAGCCCTAATTCGCGGTGGTTGCTGACTCGTGCCGGGCGAGAGAATGGGGCCGGGCCGTCGGGGCGCAAGCCGGCACGCGTATGTTCGGGGTGTGAGCTTAAAAAACCATTCAAGAATTATCCTCTCGGTAGTGGTGACGGTCGCGTGCGTGCACGCTGCATTTGGTGTCTCAGGTGGTGTGCTGTCGCCGCCATGGGGGCCATACGCGTTGAGTAAGGGCACGTGCCGCCCACTGGCCGCCCTTACGCCGGGGCCGCGGAAGCCCAGGGGCTCCGTATGTGCTCTTCTGCAGACATATCTTTCACGGCAATATTTGGGTAACGGGAAGGTGGGATGCAGGATGACTGCCGATGCCATCCCTCTGGCCATCCTGCCCCGTTGATAATCATGGACGTCCTGCAGTGACGCCGCTTCGTCGGTTGGACCGGCAGGCGCAGCTGATGCAGGCATGCAGCGGCGACCTCTTAGAACCTAACAATTGTTGTAATTACAATGCGACACAACGTAACATCCGCCGCGGTGGCCTCTTACGGCCAGGGCTCGCAACTTCTCCTCCCATTGCAGGGTGACCGAAGTGGTCCGGGTGACGGCTGCCCGCATTCCTGTGAAGCGAGCGTGATCGTTTGATGAACGTGCCAGGGCCGCGGATAATATATCGTTTAGGCACAAACTGCGTGTGTGACCCTGTGCGCCCGAGCGCTGTGTGAGAGCGCCCTCCTCTTGGGCGATGCGCTTGTCGCCCCGTTATCCGCGTTTGACTTCAACTTTAGATCGCTAATCTCTCAGCATTTTCAACCGTGACGCTGGCAGAGAGTGGCACAGCGAGGCCAACGCACCATCGCAAATATTACTAGTGATCCTTCCGTGACGGTCCGAACTGCCACCCTTTGTAGCACTGTATGGGGCAATGCCAAAGCAAAGAGGATCTCGGGGCCTCCGCGGTCATAGACGGCGGCAGCGGCGGCAGCGGTGCCCCCGTATCAAAGTTGCTCGCTCAGCGCCGCCGCAGCCAGGAGCCGCGCCCAGCCGGCGGCGCGGCCGCCGCCACCGTCGCGGCGGCCGCTGCCAAGGCGCTCCGCCGCGCGGCGTCCCTGGTGCCCAGGGCCGCCTCGGGGGCGCGGCAGGCGGCCGCGTTTGAGGAGCCGCTTGATCTTATGGAGTCGCCCACCAACCCTGAATTGGACAACATATTAACCCTGGCCACGGGAATATTCGGCGCCCCAACGGCGGTTCTCGCGCTCTTCCACGATAAGCGGGTGCGACCGCCGGCGCCGCGTGCCGGGCGGCCGGCCGGAGATGGCCCGCCGTCGCGCCGGGCGTGCGGCTGGCTGCTCGCCCGGCTGGCGAGCTCGCGCTTTTTGGACGCCGCAGGCCGCCATGCATGATTCACGCTTATAGAAGCGCCGATCACGTCTCTTCCTATGCAATCCATGCAACAAACCCGCAGATTTGGAGCAAGACCAGTGCAGGCACACAGGTCCGGCCGGACGAACCCAGAGTTGGCCCTGCAACAGTTGCTGACTTGGCGCGCCGCGGCGCGCTGCTGCCCGAGCGGCTGACATTATCGCGCGCTTCTCAGACGGGACGCGACAGCATTGCCTGCCGCCTGCAGCGCCTGCCGTCCTTGCGCCCGGCGGAGGCTGCCGGGGGCCCCTGCTGTCTGCTGCCCGTCGATGCCGTTACGCGACCGAATCTCGATTCGAACCGGTTCGAATCCAATCCGCAGGTGGACGGCGGCTCGGATTGGCACAAGAGCATGTGCGCGTGGCCGTGCTGCCGCGGCGCCACTGCAGGGGCTCTTGTTGTCCCAAATGCGCGCGAGGACCCGAGGTGCACACGGGCGAAGCGCGCTCGCCAGGCGTACCCTCCCCGCCTCTTCACACGCGGCTGCGACAGCTTTGCAATGCCCGCTGCTGATGATTCGCCCCGCGCGCCCCGTGCGAAACGCGAGCCGGCAGCCTTCGCTCAATCTCGTATGCGGCAAGCTGCCCCTCCATGCCATACTGCCGCGGCCGGCTCTTCCTATGCTGTCCTCACCTCTACGCTGCCCCCGCCC